GACAGACTCGTACGAAGCAGGAGAAGCAACGCCTGCCGTTCACCTCTGGGACAGGCGGCTGGGAAAACATACCTCAAGTATCTGTCAAGAGCTACTGATAACTTAGACGGCGAGTATTTCAGATCTAGAGATAATATATCCTGCTGTTAAAACCACCTGAGAGATAATGCCACTTAAAGGAGACGCAGAAAGATTATGCTGGTCTAATGTATGTAAAGTTTTGGGGGTGAAATAGCAATCGGCTTTGTGAATAATAGGATAAAGCATGCTGCATGTAAAGTGAATCTAAATTGGATTTCCCCACATTGTATAAAACCGCAGTAACAATTTCAAGGTTTTGTTGGTAATCCTTTTTGAGTATTCTCCGACGAAACTGAATTATCTGCGGCCGTTTAAGTTACATAAGCGAACCATTTTACATTTTGGAAGATGGTTTACTCGCCACTAGCTGTAACCAAAGATGTTTTATTGCCACAAACAGATTAACTCCCGTATAGGCCAACTTTGAGAAATATTTTGATTGGTCGAAAATAATTGATGCGTCACTTCAAAGGGAATTCGAACAAAACTATAACCCTGATATTGATATTAAATAAAACATAAATGCGGTTTTACGCGCTTATAACCTCAAGACAGTCGTCTCTTTAAATCGGACGTACACGTTTATGAAGTGAAACCTAAATGGCCTTATTTTACAGGAAAAGCTCTCACAATGATACTGTATTAGTAATGTGAGACATGTTATTGTTGATAACTACTAGTAATGTTTTACGATGTTTTTGAATGTTTTCACGGAATTTATATTAATGTTAACTATAGTCCGAAGACTTGAGACATCAGCTGCAAAGAATTAGCTTGTTAATATACATTTCCGGCTACTAAGCTTTATAAAAGAAAATAAAGCTTTACAAATGACAAGGAACTACACAATGACAATGTTCAAATCTACTAAGACTAAATCTTTATTGAGACAACGAGTAAAGAGAGAATAATTATTTGGCCCAGCAGAACATGCTCTCTCACCATTACCTTTCACGAAGATTATTAATGTTCTTAAGCTCAGATTATTGCTCAGATACAAACAATAGTGATATACGAAACTACAAAATCATTAATCAACAGTCCAGTTGTTGCAACGTAAACATTTTGCAATGCGATATAAAATGAACACAGTTATGAAATAAATAGCTTAAAATAACATTTACATCCTGGTATACAGATAAAGTGTATCCGTTTTTTTAAGGTGGCACTGGTTTAAATACAAAGTTCATCATTTTACACAGACACGTGCGCACATATATATTCAGGAGTCGATGTACATTTTGGATAAGGATGTTGCTATTGAATTCGCCATTTCCTCGTCCCTTATCCTCTGCGCCTGTATCTGTCTGCACCAGCTGTCGTATTCTGGGTTGGCCAAACACCTGTCAAACACAACGTCGTAGTGGCCACTGCTGAGCCAGCTTAGCCAGATGGAAGGCTTGGAGGCCCCTTCTTCGCCCAGGTAATGCACCATGGTGGACACGGTAGGACTCCCCAAGCTTCCGCCAGTGGTGAGGTGAATATTGACGCCGAGCATCTGACTCATCGCCAGCAGCTCGGGGTAGCCGGCCCACGCCCCGTCCTGCGCCGCGTCGATAATAAACTCCCCAATGTCCCCCTCGATTATGGGGCCAAACTCCTCCAGGTGATCGGCTATGTGGTGGACGGTATACTCTCTCAGCTCCACATGTCTCGACTGGTCCCCATAAACGGCTTTACACACCGCCCTGTACAGACAGTTCCCGTCCGGAATTATGTGGAATCTGTACATATTCCTCTCTTTGAGATATTTGTTCTGTTTGTCCAGTTCTGCTAAGTAATTCATCACTTTGTAATTTCTTTCGGATTGGTCTTGCAGGGTATTTTGTACCTGGTCTGCGCTGATCACATACCCCTTCACTGGTACGCAGCGCTCCCCTTCGCCGGTCTGCGGCGCACGGCTGCGGTTCTCGGTTACATCTGCGGAGTACGTGGTAGGTTCGGCGTCATTCGAGCTGTCCGGTGGAAACATCTCAGTGCCTCCTGCCTTGTCCATTTCCCGCTGTTTCTCAAGCAGTTCCACATGACTGAGAAAGTTGTTCAGAGATTCGGGATCCAGGGTGTAGCGATTCTCCCCGTTGACGACCTCATGCCGAATCCGGTACGTGTTGGCGGAGAGCTGCGCGCGCTCGGAGGGCGGCTCCCGCACGACGCGGACGGGAACCCGACTTTCTACTCCGCCTGGCAGCGAAATGATGATTTCCGCGTTCGGGACCAAGCAGGCCGGGTCATCGGAGGCAGTCTCGTAAAACGAAAAGGCCGGCATGTTTCCAGCAGATTCAGTACTTTCCAGTTGGTTCCCGGCGCGTTTCTTCCGGCTGCAGTCGTTCTTTCAGGCGAATGGTCCTTAAGACTCAGTATGGAACCATTACAAAATCTAGGGTGACGGACGCCCCGCTGTAGAGCTGCATTTAAAGACTGCTATTTAAATACCACCCGAATGATAATGGTGGTTAAAAATATCTTCTGCCATCCACAGATATCTATGCTATGAATTATGTTTCCACTCCTGCGTCTCTGATTACTCTCAGGCGAAATCCATCTTTAGCCGCCTGCGTCAGTACTAAGCTCCCAAAAATTACCGGGCTGCCCGAGATATCCCGATCCTTTCTTTTACATTCCGTTACGAAGCAGTCCTGCCGGACACATCAGAAGCATTTGATCCACAGCTCCGAGTCTCGGAAACACAGTCGCTGGGATTGTTTGCCCTTCACTGTGACTGATGCGTCAGGGTGCTGGAATGCGCCAGGCTCGCCAAGGCGCAAATATAACCGCAAGAACATCAAGAGGCGCACTATCTCTCTCCGGCGTCTAGCGCTTAGCAAGTCCCGCCTTTCCAATAGCTCTGCTGGTGTGGGAGTACCATTAAACATGGCCAATCAGTCGCATAATGTATAACACATGGTGCTTTTATATGCTTTTATACTGTGTAAAAATACTTTAAAAGGAACTATACCGCGTATTACCCTGTTCTGTGAATGTGTGTGTTTATTCATTGTAATTTGAAATATCTTCGTTATTTTTCCTCGGCGGTCCTAAAACCTCTTCTTATGTTTTTATACTGATATTCAGTTCTGTTTAAAATATCAATTGTTGATTAAATAATCAATTTCAATTCAGTTTCTTAGTAATAACAATAATTATCGCTATTATATTACGAATTCCGGAATTATATTAGTATTCCGTTTCACCGTTTGAGCGACAGCCAGTCCCAAACAAGCTGGTGACGGCGCGCTGGTGAGATACTCGAGGGAACCTCTGTCCCACTTCCCGGTCCTCCGCGTCTCGGGACAAATTCCTGGGGCTGCCAGTACATGTGGCGTCAGAGCTGGGTGCTGACAGCCGCTGCCCTGTCACGACAGCCGCTTCCCGTATGAGTCAAAGGTGATGTGCTGGTTTAGGAAATGACCCTGTGAATGTAGGGTAGGGTCTCATTCACCGAAGGAACACCAGCAGTACATATAAATACAGGAGATTATAGGCTTGCCTTAAATGAACTCGGAATATTGTATTTGCTCTGTTACTTTTTGTCAAATGTGCCCTAATCTGTCCTCTAAATCCACCTGCATAAAAGCTTCGGTTAAAACGTACCTTGTTGCGGATTATTATATTTTTCACCCATAGCAACTGAGAAACTAAACTGCACATCACACATTAAATTTGGACCAGTACGTGCAATATCTCTTATATTAACTTAAGTTTGCATTTGCTGACATAATTAACTTACTTAGAAAGAAAGTTCTAAGTAATTTGCTTTTTAAAACGCATACAAGCAGGGAAATGGCAATGGTGTATTGAATTGTAATGCATTTATATAACGATTGGCTAATTTTACGTTATAGACGCATTTTCTAAATCACAGGTGGGCACTTAGGGTATTGAACGGTTAACCTTAAAACACCTGAAAACAATTTAAAGATCGCAAAACTTTTTACCATGCTTCTAAACGTGCGGTTAAAAGAATCCGTTTGATTAAATCGGATATATCAAGTCACTGATTTTGTTGGCGGGCAAGTGTAGGCCTATCTAGCTATTTATACAACATTGCATTATTATGTAACTATGAGCACACGCCTATGTATCTTAGTAATTCATTTATTTAGACTGTCAATGGACAATTGCATGGAAACCGGTGTTTCGGGTTACCTACCGTGGTAACAATGAAAGGCTTGTCGAGGTAATTGTATTGATTTAATGCCAAGTAGTCCAATGGTTATAGGTGTTTACCTTTATCCAGAAAACAAGGGCAATGGTAATAATAACGCTTGGGTTCAAGCACACTAAAGCTTTATATATACATACAAACATACATACATACATAGCCTACATAAAATACATACGTACACACAGATACATACAGACTTAAATACATACATACATACATCTGGTTCTCAGACCTCTTATTATGCAATTTTATTTATATATATTTTACTATTTTATTCACGTGATTTTTTTCCCTATATCTTACTACATATGTAGTACTCATTAATCAGCTCTATTTAGCCTGGAAAGAAATTTGGGTCAGCTCCTGTTGTTTTTAAATGTGCTATAAAAATAAATTACTTGACTAATTTAGGGACCCCCAAAAGTCCATATAATTAAGCAGCATTGCTTTTTAAAATTGGCCCCATAAGGCAGAAGGTTATCAGCACAGCAGAATACCTGCTGAATACCTGCTAGGAGCTGAATAACGCCTAGGCCAGGGGTGCTCAATCTTATGAAGAAATGGCTACTGTGTGTGCGGGTTTTCGCTGCAGCTCCCTAATTAGATTACTAATTAGAGGACTGATTGGCAGAAGAGTCCTCACAGCTAGGTTTGAACAGCTGACCTACAGGTTATCCCAAAAACCTGCATACACACCGGCCCTTTGCGGATAAGATTGGCCACCGCTGGCCTAGGCTATTGAATACCTGCTATAGGAGCTGAATAACGCCTAGGCTATTGTAAGCTACACGACCTAAGGCTGCGGAAAACATCAGCGTCCCGCCCCGCTGTGGGGAAAAAAATGGAATCGTTATTTACATCAGCAACATACGCCACTGAGTATCGAAGTTAAAATGTAAGTAAAAATCCATCTTGATTAAAAGTAACCCGTTTGCATGTCACCTCGTTGTAACCCAGACCAGAACAAACAATTGGAAGGTGGATAGAGAGCCTATTCGTTGCCATTATTTGCTTTAACCTGAGCAAGTGAAAAATATATATAGTGTACTTCAAAACAGCAATATTTAACGATTTTGCTTTTGCAAAGCAATTAATATTTGATAATCGTACAAAAAAAATTTTCAGATTGATTTCATAGCTAAAGGAAAGTCAATTTTTTTATTTTTACCCTAAGTAATTGTGGAATAATGTCTAATTTTAGAGAGCATTGTATTGCAGGTATTGTATATGGCTGTAAGCTTGTGATGAGGTAGACGGAAAGTTGTACATGTCAAAAGTCAAAAACATAGGTGGAGTCCGCAGAGTTGTTATAAGCAGGAGTAGGATTCCTAAGCTCCCCTAAATACTGTCACGCACCTGTAATTATCGCGAACGTTTCTTTCCGTCTTTTGTGCTCCGACCGTCTGACCGGTAATATGACGATTGGGCGTTTTCTTGAGACTCGGGGAGCGTTTTAAATGCAACAGAGTTTTAAAATTATCCAGTAATCCTCATCAAAATATCGAATGAAATGTTATATATTTCAAATAAGACATGAATTAAGGTACCAGGGATTTTTTAATAACAAGATATATATATAAAACGAAACGCTTCAGTGTGAGAAAATCTAATCCCACTATAGAACCGAGAGCACTGTCCAAGTTCTCGGGAAGGAAACCCAACAGCACATGGCTATCATAATTTACCTTTGTAACTGTGCTATTTAGTTGCATGGTAATTATTACAAAAGCATCGCGACTTGGATCCTACTTGGTTTATACTTCACACACATGTTCCTCACATGCCAGATCCGAGTCACCCCTAATAATATGGGGGACGGGGGGAACATATCGGCAGACCGCCTCACCATAAATAAAGCAAGTTCCTTATCTTTTATTATGAATCCACGCGTTACTGAGGCCAATTGTCTGCATGCAGTGCGCGAGGATCAGTTATTTATTATCATTTTTTTGCACCCTAAACAGTGTCAGTCTTATTATAAATGATGAAATCGTAATTATTCTAAAATTACTTTAAAATCTTTCTTACACCAAATCTTTTCGCGATGTGACTGCTGCATTGTGCCCATTGTATAATGTCACGATATACTGTACATCGCACGCCACCCCCGAGCGGGGGGCGAATTCGGCCCTCTTCAATGTCTCAACTCCCTCAGACGCCACTGCCCCTACTGCGGCTACAACCTGTCCCTGTCCCGTTTCCACATTCATAATCTTTACACTCTGTCCTAACTGCTACCTAAGTGTAGCTTAGACTTATATCATATTCTGCACCTGGATAGGAAATCTATGCGACGAGTATTGTCTGTCTGTTGACAGCTGAGAGATATGCAATCCATTATCCACCCATCCAAGTCCTTCAAAAGAAAGTCAGCCAGTTTAAATTAGTTTGAATTGCAAATCTGAAATTGCACTTCTGTCTGTTCTGGAATTAAATGTTGACTATCTTTTTTGCAGTGCAGTAATATTAGCCTTCATTTGATCTGGGTTCTGGTCTAATTAGTCTGTACTGATTTGGACCGCAATCAGGTGTGGTTCTGTACAGCGGTGTTTCCCAATCCGATCCTCCGGGACCCACAGCCAGTCCATGTTTTTGCTCCCTCCCAGCTCCCTATGTGGACTGCCTTCAGGGAGTTCGGAGGGAGGAAAAACATGGACCGGCTGTGGGTCCCCCAGGACTGGATCGGGAAACACTGCTGTATCGTGACCTGTGTCACCCTCTGTTTGCCAAGCCTCTCCGGTCTCAGCCCCTGCCTTTCGTCTCAGTGGCTGCTGCCCGTCTTGTTCAGCTATAGACGCGCCATGACAACACCATGGCGACCGCTAGCAACATGGCATGTCGATTGAAGCACACTTTATTCTGACATACACCACTGCTGATAAGTAAAATCAGAGAGTGCTCATCATGCATAAAATTTCTGCTAACTTCTGAGATCCTCGGCTAATTATATTTTGAACCGTGAAATTCAGTCCTGTAGGCCATACTGATTATTATTGTAGCTAAAACCATACTGCTTTTAAATTCTTAGACAAGAAAGCTGGTGCCTGGATGTGAAAAAATAAATACCTGTGATTGGTGTTATTATTTCCAGAGTGGTGCTGATTTCAGCTCTAAATAAAAAAGGAACATTAAACTAAATGCCTGGTTTCCCGCAGCTGATCACTCTTAGAGAGAGAGAAGGTCACATCGTCCCCTGAAGGTCAGAGGTTTTAATTTATCATGGGCTGCCACCTCGCTGGAAGTTCCCCATGTTACTAACAAAGTATACATGGTCCTGGGAAGACTACAGACACGCTTTATATGGATTTGTTGTCTTGCTTATTTATCATTTGCCGTCTTTGTAAGATAAACACAGGCAACGGGCAGAAGATTGTCAGTCGTCCACTTAACTTTGGAAGACTGTAGACGTCCCTGCATGGATTTCAGAGAAGCTCCTAAACCACATCCTCGGGAGAGCGGCTGCAAGATCCAACCCAGCGAGGCTGATCAGAAACAGTTCTCAGCTTCTGGGTCATGTCACAGTGTCTGCATTTTCATTTGCTGTTTACCTAGTTTCTAGGATAGGGCAACACGTGAGAGACAATACACCAAAAGGCCAGCAGGAGGCTGTAGTGAGAGACGAAAGGATTTTGCAGGTTCAAGTTCTTCAGGTTTCTGGTCTGGAACCTGAGGCACACTGAACCAAACCCTTTCTAGCCTCACATAAGGCTAGAAGCTTACTATACCCTCAGTTATCACTTAGAAGCTTACTATACCCTCAGTTATCACTTAGAAGCTTACTATACCCTCAGTTATCACTTAGAAACTTACTATACCCTCAGTTAACATTTAGAAGCTTAATATTCCCTCAGTTATCACTTAGAAGCTTACTATACCCTCAGTTATCATTTAGAAGCTTACTATACCCTCAGTTAACATTTAGAAGCTTACTATACCCTCAGTTATCACTTAGAAGCTTACTATACCCTCAGTTATCACTTAGAAGCTTACTAAACCCTCAGTTAACATTTAGAAGCTTAGTATACCCTCAGTTATCACTTAGAAGCTTACTATACCCGCAGATAACTGATGGTATAGTAAGCTTCTAAATGTTATCACTTAGAAGTTTACTATACCCTCAGTTATCACTTAGAAGCTTACTATACCCTCAGTTATCATTTAGAAGCTTACTATACCCTCAGTTAACATTTAGACGCTTAATATACCCTCAGTTATCACTTAGAAGCTTACCATACCTTCAGTTAACTGAGGGTATAGTAAGCTTCTAAGTGATAACTGATGGTATAGTAAGCCCCTAAATGTTATCACTTAGAAGCTTACTATACCCTCAGTTATCACTTAGAAGCTTACTATACCCTCAGTTATCATATATGCAGCAGGGTGTAACTTGTCCATTTCTAGGATAGGGCTAAATGACAGACCCTTCAGGGTACAGCCCCAGTGACAAGCAAAGGTACAAATTGATATTCTTTATTCTTTATTCTGACTGTAGGAAAGAAAGGTGGACATCTTATGGCTGCCGTGACTTTTGCTCAGGTCATGCCTTTCTCTTCCTGTTTGCCTTTGCTGGCGTAATCCTCAGTTTGATGTCTTTTTACCCTTAAACAATCGTTGATTTTGAGCATCTTGTCAAGAAGGCAGGTGATTATTGTGTCAAGACGCCTTCAGCCAATTTAATGATTTAATGTTAGGGTCTTGAGAGGAGAACAATCAGTTCGGGGCTCTTTGTATCTTCTCTCCTCCTTAGGGTTTAAAGGACATTCGGACAGCTTGAGTGGATGATAGCAGACAAATTGGGCACAGATAGGTCTGTTTTACCTACTGGACTCGGTGTTTTACCCCTCTTTCGCTATAGTCTTTATTTTCTGATTAGAAATCAACATTAATTAGATATCAGTTGTCAAAAGGTGTGGCCCTTCTTTAGTTGCGTTTTAAAAAATATGGCGCTCTCCAGCGTTGCTGTCCGGGTCGTCTTGTCCTAAGCGCTTGAGCTGCGTCCAACCAAAGGCCGCTGCCGCGGGCAGATGGCGGGGAGAGCGCGCACAAAAAAACCTGCCACTCAAAGTGAAACAGATGACCGTGGCCCCAGAGAATCGCCCCTTTGTTCCTTGTGCTAATGAGAGCTCTCAGTGCGCTGGGAGAGCGCATAGTTAATCACCCGCAGTACCGCTGTGCGCCAGAGGGGGGAGACAGAGCAAAGGGATGTGAGAGCGTGTGCAAGCGAATACATTTGTACGAGGCGGAGGTACAAATGCCGTGTGCGATTATTTGCGCCATTTGTGCGGCTGGTATTAAAGCGTTAAAATGCTTTGATTGAACCACATTTATTTAATGCTTTACAAGTTGATTTTGGTTACTGTTATAGGACCGCGGTTTGGATTTGCATTTCTAGTGTTTGGATTGGGGTTAGGGTTTTGGGTGGTCAAGCCAAACTCTCGGTCATCTGCTGAAACACGGATTTTGCCACTGCGGTGGGTGCCCGCGGCGGGGGGAGCTGGGGGCAGATGGAGGCTCTTGAAGCTCAGTGTGCGGCTTCCTTACCTCCGTGTCCGACTTTCCGATCCGGGGGCTTGAACAGTTGAACAGTTGGCATTCGCTTCTTTGCCATGCATAACTTCACACAGCATTATGTGCGATTTTTTTTTTTTTGCCGTCTGCGTTATTCAGCTTCGCTATTTGAAGTCCAACTCGAGGGGGTAATTATTTTTCTTTGTCTATTTTCATTTTTTCCTGCCTTTTTCTAGCACTTTTCCTTTCAGAGGGCTGAATGGTTCCGTTGTATGGCAGTCAGTTTTATTTGTATGAAACTGGTTCTATTCTCCGCACTGTCTAGAAACCCACAGATTTGGATGCTCTCCAGTTAAAACAAAAAACGCATTGATAATATTTAAAAAG